GGGTCCCCCTCTCCCTCTCCGCGGACCCCTCGCCTACCGGTTAGGTTAGCGGGACCCTCACCTATCGGTTAGGACGCGGTCCCCCTCCCCCCTCTCGGAGGATCCCTCGCCCATCGGTTTGGACGCGATTCCCCCGCGTGACGTCATATCCCCCGCGCCCGTTTCCCCTCGCCCCTCATCACCCCTCAGAGGACCTGCGTTAGAACCGGCCTAGCTTTACTACTAGTATGTACATATGTGTATGCAATATGTATATTGATATGTGTATAACTATATGTATTTATATGTATCTACATATATAAGTATAGATATGTAAGTATGCGTATATAAGTATAGATATATAAGTATAGATATGTAGATATGCGTAGATATATAAATATGTAAATCCGCATGTCCCTTCTTCTGAAACAAAAACGACTATTATCAGCGAACTAAATATACAGAGAGAAATAATAAATAAACGTATAAAGAAAATACTCACAATTATGTATATTAGTTGGCGGTGGCGGGAGCTCGGACGTTGACTGGAGTTCATTCTGAAGTTCCCGTTCATTATTTTCACCTTCTTTTATTATTCACATTTCGCGCAACGCCCTATGAACATCTCGCGCTTGCGTGTGCAAAACTTTGGTTCGAGCGGAAAGCTCGGCCAAAGCATGACGCGTGACTCTCACGCCTGTTGATATCCGTTTTCTAAAAAATATTAAAATATAAAAATGAATCAACCGCATCATCATCGTTAATAACGTGCAAATACTTACAACAATTTTTCAGCGTCTCTATCTATTTCAAAATCGATGCGAAATGAATTCGGGCTTTGGTGTATCACCCCACGAGCTTCGGTTCGCAAATCGGTTGCCATCATTGACACTGCCGCAGCCTTTCTCTCTATCTCGTCGGCTGCTACCGTGACATAATCGGCCATATCGATAATTTGATTAATTACATCCATCGCTCGTGTTTCAGCGATACTTTGTTCTGCGAAACGATCTCGCGCTCCTTTTATGAGCGATTAATACGCATTTCGCTCGCGTGGAAACTTTTTCGGGGCGACCCCGCGTTCCTTCTACAAACAGATGGCGATATGATTTTGTCGATCGCAGCATTTTCTCCGTTTCTCGGAGCGATCTCTGGCTCCTTCTATAAACAGATGGCGATATGATTTTGTCGATCGCAACATTTTCTCCGTTTCTCGGAGCGATCTCTGGCTCCTCTTGAAACCGGGGACTAACCATGAGGACCGGGCAAAGCAGGGGACCATCTACGCGAGCCGAGAACTCGTGGAACCCGAAAACATCGTCCAGGAGGATGGTAAGACACAAGGTGGCTAAGAGACACCGAACAAAGAGAGCGTGCAAATGCAGGCTTGAAAAGGGCACGACACAGTCGAGAAACTGCGTGGAAAAATTATCTTTCCACAGGAGCCCGAATATAGCGCTAATAATGCGGCGTAAACGAATAAACATTATGTACAGGATATATAGGCTTGGATTAGTATACTGGTTCGTTGTACATACGCTAGAGACGTTACATACAACGTATACATTTATTAACTTGCATGCGAGTATGAAATTATTATATAAGCAGAATGTAAATAAAGCGCGCATAGATTTTAAGAATCGGATTTTAAATATTAAGAGCGGTCCAATTTTGTAAGATACATTCAACAAACACGATTGTAAATAGAGAACCGTGATTTTAAAGCAATAGTGTAGCAACCGAAGGACTACACTTAAAAGTGCAGCTCATCTGCACTTTTGTAACATAAACTATAGTCTTAAGAAAGTATAGATATTTAGATTTTAAACACCCTGTACATTTAGATATACTAAATTTTAAGGAAATTGTGATCCGAGCATATTTTTGACAACTACACCCGATGTGTAGCACGGACTGTACCGCACAGCATGGGCGTGCGCGAAACCTCCCGGAAGGCGGACGTACCGTGGAAGGGAGAACTCCCGGTGGGAGAAACCTAGAGTGGGGAGGCTAGAGGCCTTTTCCCCGGAAAACCAAGCGTAATAATAAATACGTAGCGTAGGTTTTTATTTGTGTGTTAAAGGAGATAGTCGCGAAACAAAAATCTCTTGTGCGAGTAAGAGATTCGCGATAGTAGTAATAATAAAGGCCAGTTTTATTTTATTTTAAAGTACAGAGCGCGATAGATCTCCGAGATGTGGAGATTCGCGAGAGACTGTGAATTTTATACGAGAAGTTTTAAATACTTTAAATATTTTGTTTTAAATATATATGTTAAATATTTATATATTTAAACAAGTGTAACAGTTATTAAACTTACCTCGAATTTGTGAAAACCTTTTACTGTGTCCGTGTGTCGATCCAGCTTCATCCAGAGAGTAGTCCAATAATCCATGGGCGTTGATACGAGGCATCCAGCGGCGATCTGAAACAGAAAAGAGAAGGGATTAACAGCGAAGGAGGAATCTTGTCCAACTGTCTACCAGTGGGCGAATTGCGTCGTTCCAACGTATTCTTGAAACGTCGAAATAGTTTTCATCCAGTGGGTAGTCCAGACATCCATGGGCGTTGATCCGGTAAATCCAACGGCGACCTGAAACAGAAAAGAAGAAAGGGATTAGGAAAAATTCCCAAGCAGCCAAGCAGATAAGCAGTGGCGTTAATAGCAGCGCAATTCTGACGCTGAGCATCCTGTCCGACGGCCGACCTGACGGGACGTCGTCCGAGGGCGTTCCTTGTTTGTTGGATCGTCAAACAAACGGGCGCCCGTTAAATAAGCCAAGCAGATATCCAGTGGCTTTAACAGCAGCGCAATACTGACGCTGAGCATCCTGTTCAACGGCAGACCTGACGGGACGTCGTCCGAGGGCGTTCCTTGTTTGTTGGATCGTCAAACAAACGGGCGCCCGTTAAATAAGCCAAGCAGATATCCAGTGGCTTTAACAGCAGCGCAATACTGACGCTGAGCATCCTGTTCAACGGCAGACCTGACGGGACGTCGTCCGAGGGCATTCCTTGTTTGTTGGATGGTCAAAAAAACTGGCGACCGTTAAATAAGGTAGGAAAACCTGTATTCTGTGTGATATTCTCCATCTCGACTAGTTTGTCCGGTCACAACCTAACCTGACTTAACCTTGAAGCCGGGAACCAACCATGAGAGCCGCGGAACCCAGGAATCCGGAAACGTCACCCAGAAGGCGCAGAAGGATAAGAAAACATCGGAAAAAGGGCAAGACACAAACATGGGAGAGGGTAAATAAATTGATAACCCACGCAAGCCCGAACATTGCGCTAACCATGCGGCAAAAACGCATAAATATTATGTATAATATATATAGATTAAGATTATTATATTGGTTAATTTTTCACACAATAGATACGATACATACAACGTACACGTTGCTTCACTTGCATGAGATGTTAAATGTTATATATAAGCGTAAAAGACGATTTTGTAAATAAAAACGCGTTTAGAAATAAGCTAGGCGTAAGAAAGTGCTACACCTCCTGTACTTTTGTGTACCTGAAAAACTGTGATAGCTGTACTTTAAGTGCAGCACTTTGGCACTTTTAGCCGAACTTATGTTTTCGCGGCGTGATAACGCTAGTCAGTTAAGTAGATGTTATAAACAATTATTTTGATTTTATGTTAACCGCGAGGTATAGAAAAGCGGTATCATATATATTTTATGTATTATTTAATTAGATTAATATATTTTATAAGCGCTAATGTATAAGTACGGCGAAAAGCGGCGTACGCATGCGTCGAACCGCCCAGTGGCGCGTAAGAGTAGGAGACTCCGCGTAGTGGGAATCGCAAGAGTGGGAAGAACTTTAGAGTGGGAACGGGTATAAAAGAGCGTGCAGAGCGGCTCTCGAGGCTTTTTCCCCGAATATTAAGCGTGCGATAAAAAACGTCTTACGGGTATTTCATAGAACAAAGTCGTGATAAAAAATTTCTGTGTAGAAGAGACTCGCGACGATAATTAAAGGTGGCCTTTTCCCTGGAAAACAAAACGTGATAATAAAACGTTACTCGGGTATATCGAGAAGGAAAAAACGCTTTTACCCAGAAGTCGAGCGTACTGATTAAAACGTCTCGCGGGTTTATTTCAATCAGTTAATTGCGAAATAAAATCTCTGTGCTATAGAGATTCACGATAATAAAAAGGCGGTATTATTTTATCGTTAGATCGAAGCGCGATAGATCTCCGAGTTGTGGAGATGCGCAGAAAAAACCTCTGTGAAACGAAGAGTTATTTTATACGAAGAAGTTTAAACATTTGATTCACTTTTAAATATATTTATACACAGTTAAATATTTAAAAGCAGTGTTTGATTCACTTACCTCGACTCCGCGAAAAATCCTTCCTGTGTTCAGGATCCGATCCAGAGATATCCAGAGGGTAGTCCAGCAACCGATGGGCGTTGATCCGGCGAATACAGCGGCGACCTGAAGCAGAAAACAAAAGGATTAGGAACCAGAGAGGGAACTTTGTGCAAGTGTATAGCGTTGCACGAATAACGTCGTCCCGACGTATAACCATAGGCGTCGAACCAGTTGTATCCAGTGGGTAGTCCAGCATTCCTTGGGCGTTGATCCGGTGAATCCTGCGGCGACCTGTAACAGAAGAAAAAAGGGAAATTAACAAAACTTGACGGGAAGTCAAGCGAATACGCAACAGCGTGTATAGCAGCGCGATCCTGATGCTGAGCAACCCGTCCGACGGCAGACCAAACGAGGCGTCGTCCGAGGGCTTTCCTTGTTCGTTGGTGGTTAAACGAACTGGCGACCGTTAAATAAGGTAGGAAAACCTGTATTCTGTGTAGAATTCTCCATCTCGATTAGTTTGTCCGGTCACAACCTAACCTAACTTGACCTTATTTCCCCCTCTACCCCAGATTTGCGCGATAGAGACAAAAATAAGCGTTTCGTCGAACATTTCTTATTACGTCCAATTTTCTCGATCGATCGTTTCCCGCGTCCCTCTCGACCCGCGCGATCCACCGCGAAGAAGACGATGACTGTTCTCATCCTAGCGATAACGCTCGTCGCCGCGACGACCGCGACGCCTATCGACTCGGAGAAGAGAGAGGCGCTCCGCTTCTTGCGCGCGTACGTTTTTCTGAAGGACGATGGAGGATCGTTGTCGTCCGGCAACGCGACGTCTCTGCGTCACGTGCTGTCGCTGTATCAGGTATACTATCAATTATCAGGAAATGGTGCGTTAAACCCTGATACGCATCGTCTTATGCGCAAACCGCGATGCGGTCTCGCGGACATTCCCGGTCGCGCGTATAGCCCGATCGCGCGAAAATGGCCGAAAACGCGTCTCACGTGGAACTTTCAAGTGGCTAGCGAAGAACTCTTAAGAACGGCCGAAGCGACGTTCGCGTTAGATGCGGCGTTAATAATGAATCGTCGCTTGTACATAGCTAATCGCCGCAACGTATGGTCGGTCGAAATAACCGAGAGACGCTACCGTAGACCCATGAAGTTGACGGATTACGCGACGTATCTTCCGGCGAATCTCACGCGCCTGTCCGCCACGTATCGAAGACCATCGGGCGATCTCGCGCTATTCGTTAACGATTCGATCTATGTCGAGGAATTTCCCAGTTTTAAGCTAAAACTTGGTTGGCCGAGATCTCTCCACGATATCGGACTTCCCCGAGACGCTAAGATCAACGCCGCGATAAAGACGCATACGGGACGAACCTACGCGATCTACGACGACGACAAAGTAGCGGAGATCGACGAATGTCGCATGATAGCCGTTAGACACGCTCCGTTGAAAGATATATTTCCAGGAATACCGCCCGCGATAACATCGGCCTACCGACACATCGACGATAACCTATATTTTTTCGCAAAGCGTCAATTCTACGCGTTCAACGAATTCACGAATATCGTGACCTTGGCGGGTCCTTTCGACCTTCACGTACTCGGTATCGAGTGTCCTACGGACGGATTGTTGCGACAATTGCGCGATCTTCTGATTCGCGCTTATCATCTCGGCGACGTAACCGAGAGCGACGAGATCGACGAAGAGGACGACTGATAAAGCGACTTCCGCCATTGCTCTAATGTAATTGTAAAAATACAATAGAATATGATAAAAAGGAGCGAAAGACGCGCGCGGAAGGAGGACGCTGTTTCACCTATGTAATAAATAGGTATCCCGGTTAACAATAAGATGTTTGTTGTTCATTTATTACGGCTGAAATCTAATTATCATGCGCAGTTTTTAGCTACGACAGCTAGTTTTTTTTTCACGCTATAACCACGCTAGATCCTGACCTATCCATCGATCTATTTCTAGATCTACGCGGTACGCGCGACGAGTCTCGTATCGCGCCGAGGTTCGCCCGCGATATTTTATTATCTAATCGTTTTCAATTTTCCGTATTTACATGTTACGGTTCATCGCGACTCCCGGGTCCTCGGGTCGGAGATAAAGCGACGACCGCGACGCGTCGATCGGAAAAATCGATCGGTAGGCGCAACGATGACAAGCGCTTCTCGTATCGCGCCGAGGTTCGCCGCCCGCGATATTCTCTCATCTCGTCGTCTTCGATTTATCGTATTTACGTGTCACGGGTCATCGCGACTCCCAAGGTCGGAGATAAAGCGTTGACCGCGTCTCGCGTCTTTAACGCACCTGACGCGATAACGCGGTCTCTCGACCCGATTTCATCACCCCCTATCCCTCGCCCCTCTCACCACGCTCGAGCTCCGTGGCTTCCCCGACCCCCCTCAACCCCGCTTCCCCTCTCACCATACGTACTCCCCCTTTTCTTCCCCCCTGCCCGACATGCCCCCCTCAGATATCTCAGTTTCTCACTTTATCCAGTTTTTCACTCTCTCACTCTTACGGGAGTTTCCAAAGCAAGGTGGGTTAGAACCGGCCTTACTCATCTACTGCTCGGATGTATCATTAATTAATAGTAGTTTGGTTAGAATGCCTAAGCGGCAAATTCCACTCGATCATTTCGCTCGTGTTTCATATCCAACTGGGGAAGAAGTACCTGTCAAGTTTAAAGTAATTGTAATGATTAGGATAGGAAAATGTTGTATAGAACTTCCGGTTCTTGTAGCTGAATTGGCAGAAGATTGCTTATTGGGAGCTGATTTCCTTTCGAAAATAAATTTGGAAAATGTTTTTGGGGCGGTTTTTGGAAATCCTGTTTTAGGAAATGAAGGAGGGAATGTGTGTTCGCGCATAGAAAATTATAGAAAGAAGGTTCCTCAATTTCTTCTTGAGCTTCATGAAAGAGAAATGGAAGGATTCACGCAAAATCAGAAAGATCTTTTTGCTCATTTTCTAGTAGATTTTCAAGATGTGTTTTTGGAAGAGATAGTGGCTGGAAATTGTAACGTTGTAAAACATGTCATTAATGTGGAAGATTCGAATCCTATTAAACAGGCTCCTCGGCGGATACCTTTGAAAATGCGAGGAAAGGTTGATGAAATCATTGAGGAAATGAAACATCAGGGAGTTATAGAAGAATCACAAAGTCTGTCGGTCTCACCTGCTGTTATAATAAAGAAGAAAGATGGATCAATTAGATTCTGTGTTGATTTTAAAAAATTTAATGCTGTCACAGTGAAAGATTCTTACCCAATACCCCGGATTGATGACATTCTTGATCGATTAGATGGAAGTTCTTGGTTCTCTTCTTTGGACTTAAAGAGCGGATATTGGCAAGTTAAAATTCGTCAAGAGGACAAGGAAAAGACAGCATTTTCAATTGGGAATGGTTTGTGGCAATTCACTGTTATGCCTTTTGGACTTTGTAATGCTCCCGCCACTTTTGAGCGATTGATGGAGAAAGTTTTACAAGAATTGCTATTTAATATTTGCTTGGTATATTTAGATGATGTTATTATTTTTGGTAAAAGTTTCGAAGATGTGCTTGATCGTTTAAAACAAGTCTTCTTGCGATTACGTTCGGCTAATTTAAAGTTGAACCCAAAGAAATGTTCGTTCTTTAAGCGGGAGATTAAATATTTGGGGCATGTAGTCTCTCAGCAGGGTGTTACAACAGACCCTGAAAAAATTTCCACTGTTAAGAATTGGCCAGTTCCTCGTATTAAGAAGCAAGTTCGTAGCTTCTTAGGTTTCTGTTCTTATTATAGGAAATTCGTGAAGGGATTTTCGTTGATAGCGAAGCCATTGTTTTTATTGACTGAAAATTTGACAAAATTTGTATGGACTGAACAGTGCGAGACAGTTTTTAGGGAATTAAAGAAACGTTTAGTGTCTTCTCCTATTTTATCTTTTTCGAAGAATAAGGGTCAATTTATTCTTGATACTGATACATCTAATCATGGGATCGGTGCGGTGTTATCTCAGGTTCAGGATGGGGCAGAAAAGGTAATAGCTTATTTTAGTCGTGTGTTGAATAAATCTGAGAGGAATTATTGTGTTACGCGTCGGGAGTTATTAGCTGTTTTAGATTCATTGAAATCGTTTCACCACTATTTATACGGATGTAAATTCGTAGTTAAAACCGATCATGTTTCTTTACGTTGGTTAATGTCATTCAGAAATTTGGAAGGGCAAATGGTGCGTTGGTTAGAACGGATTCAACAGTATAATTTTGAAATTGTTTATCGAAAAGGGAAACTTCACGGAAACGCCGATGGTTTATCGAGGCGTCCTTGTGAAGAGACCAATTGCAATTATTGCAATAAAATAGATGCTAAGAAAGAAGAATTGGTTAGAAGGATAATTTTTGGGGAAGATAATCATGGAAATTGGAGAAAAGATCAATTAGAGGATCCGGCGGTTGTAAAGATTCTTCATGGAAAGGAGAAAGGTCAGCGTCCTTCTTGGCAAGAAACCGTTTCGGAAAATTCTTCCACAAAAACTTATTGGTCACAACGGGATTCTTTGGAGTTGAAAAATGGTGTTTTGTTTAGGAAATGGGAATCCCCAAATTTGCAAACTTGCGTTTTTCAGATGATAGTTCCACAGAAGAGGATTAAGGAAGTCTTAGAGGAAGCTCACGATTCTCCTTCAGGAGGTCATTTTGGAGTAAACAAGACTTTAGGGAAAATTCGAAAAAGATTTTATTGGGCCACGTGTAAGCAGGATATTGAAGATTGGTGTAGATCTTGTAAAATATGCATAGCCAAGAAGGGTCCTTCTGATAAAGGGAGATCTGAGATGCGAATTTATAATTCCGGAATTCCATTTGAAAGGGTGCAAATGGACATTTTAGGTCCATTTCCAACATCTTTGTTAGGAAATAAATATTTGTTGGTCATTTCGGATTGTTTTTCTAAATGGGTAGAAGCGTTCCCATTGAAAAATGTTAGGGCAAAAACTATTGCAGAAACTTTTATGGATTAGGTAATTTCAAGATACGGTGTGCCTTCAGAAGTACATACAGATCAGGGAAGGAATTTCGATTCGCGGATATTTCGGGAATTATCACATTTCTTAGGAATTAAGAAAACAAGGACAACTCCATTTCATCCCCAATCTAATGGTTTAGTCGAACGGCAACATCAGACAATAATAAAGGAATTCCATTTGAAAGGGTGCAAATGGACATTTTAGGTCCATTTCCAACATCTTTGTTAGGAAATAAATATTTGTTGGTCATTTTGGATTGTTTTTTTAAATGGGTAGAAGCGTTCCCATTGAAAAATGTTAGGGCAAAAACTATTGCAGAAACTTTTGTGGATCAGGTAATTTTAAGATACGGTGTGCCTTTAGAAGTACATACAGATCAGGGAAGGAATTTCGATTCGCGGATATTTCGGGAATTATCACATTTTTTAGGAATTAAGAAAACAAGGGCAACTCCATTTTATCCCCAATCTAATGGTTTAGTCGAACGGCAACATCAGACAATAATAAATTATTTAGCAGAATTTGTTTCAGATAATCAACGGGATTGGGATAGATGGATAGAAATGAGTCTGTTGGCGTATAGGTCTGCTAGACATGAAACTACGGGGATTTCTCCTGCTGAGTTGTGTTTCGGTCGGGATTTGAAATTACCTTTGGATCTTCTTCGTGGTAGTCCTCCAGGGAATGAAGGAAATTTATCAGAAGAGAATTATGTTTCAAAATTGAGAAGGAAATTAGACAAGGTTCATAATGAGGTTAGGCAACGTTTAAATATGAAGTCTTTAAGGGCAAAGGCGTTTTATGATCGTAGAGCTCGTCAGATACATTATGAACCTGGACAGAAGGTTTGGTTATACAATCCTCGAAGAATCGTAAGAAGAACTCCCAAATTACAAAGTAATTGGGAAGGTCCCTATGAGGTAGTTAAAAGATTAAACGACGTGGTATATTGTATTCGGAAATCTAAGAAGCATAGGAATAAAATAATTCATTTGGATAGATTGGCCTCTCATCATGAGAGACACATTTAGATATCTGTTGTTTTGAGATTAAGACAGGAAAGAAGATTCTTTAATGAAAGAGATTGTTTTGCATCCGAAGCCCAATTTAATGTAATTTATTTCTTGTTACTCGTTTGATTTTTTTTTTGTTTCTTAAGAAGTTCGATGAAAAACATGCGGTATGAAACATGCAGAGTTTGGTTGGAAAATTTGCACTAATTGATTTGTCCCATTATTCTATACATAAAAGTATTACGGTAAGGTTATCGAAAACTAAATATTTTACGAGATATTTTATCTTGTTTTTCCGTATCTTCCATATTTTTCGAGATATTTGACTGGCTCTTTTAAAATGGACCACCCTGTATATTTTTCTATGATTTAACATTTTGTATATAAAGCAAAAAAAAGTTTCATTAACTGAAGCAAGAGCGAATTATTTGAAAGTTTCATTAGAAGAGAAAAGATTAAAAAGAGAAGAAACTGCCAATTACAGAGCCATAAAATTACAAATATTAAAAAAAATAAAAGAAGCATTTGAAAAACAGAAACAATAGTAAAGTGTGTGAAGAAAAAAATGTAAACGTTAATATATTGTATCAGAAAATGCGCTTTTTATTAATATCTGTTTTTTAATTTAGTATGAAAATATTGTATTTTTTAAGTGTACTCACTCTGTGATATACAAATACAGTA